TTAAATTGAAAAAGTGCCCTTTTTTGTAGTCTTTTGAATATTCTCTCAATGCAAACAAATGCAAACAAAGTTGTTCTTTCTAACCAATAATGTATATAGTTTGGTGCTATATTAGTAGTGTTGTTCTCCAAATTGGTACAATTTTCTGTCTTAATTAACTTAATGTAAATTACAATCATGAACTCAGCAGTTACTACAGAATATATTGAAATCGACAGAATTGCAGTTTCCATCTGATTGCCCAAGTCTGAGTTTTGAATGCAAAGATTTGTGTCAGAAATTGTTACGTCGGAATCCAGGTATGCTTTTGATTTTATTGGAGATTAAAATCTGAGGCCTAAATTAAGGATGAGTTTATGGTCCAGTTTATTTAATCATTGTTTATAGTATTGTTACTTTTCTAATATGGCATGCGATGTCCTTGGTGCACTTATCGACTTTTTCCTGGGAAACTAGCTGCAGTAAACAAGGTGAACGCATGTGTGTTTCAAACCTGGCTATGTAAAATTATATTGCTTTGGTTAGCATCAGCATTACAGCTCCTTCATAGAATTCAGCTGAAAAATCTGTTTGTCCTTGCTGTTTCAGGCTTTTAGATAACTTATTCTCCTGCTAACCAATACCATATCAACTAGAATAAAGGGGTATTTTTGATTTTTGTTATTTTTGCTAATGTAGATCGGACCACTTGGGCAAGATTTAGATACATAAAAACCTAATACATGATAAATTATTACACATTGTTTGGAGTATAGGCAAGGTAACTTTGGAAGAGAGTCTTGTGAATTAAAGAAAGAGATGCCCTCCATTTAAGGGGTAATTAATTTGGGGATTGATAATAGTTGGAGCTTGATTTGGTGAACTGATAATTGAATGATAAAATATGCTTGTAATAATCCCTAGTTTTTAATATTAATATAAAATATAAATTGAGGGAAATTACTCTACATTTTCAGCAGTTTTTTCGTGGGAGAAACAAGGAAAAAGGGATGATATAAAATTATAAGATTTTTGTCATCATTTTCAGTACATTCTAATATATTGTTCTCTCTTCTGTGTCTGTTTTTTTAACTTCAGTGGAACGTCTAACTTTCGAAGAATTTTTTAACCACCCATTTCTTTCTCAGAAGCAAAGAGAACAGGATGATGAGCCATTGAGGTAAAAACACTCTCTTATAATTTATGGTTATTATGGTTTTTCAGTTGCAAATATAAATAATTTGTAGTGTGCAGGAGTAGAAGTTCTTCAAGGCTGGTTGGTGGGTTTTTTTCTACAGTGTCTGACCCTTTGAGAAGAACTGAGGAAAATTATCAAGAAGATTGTTTGCCTTTCATCCTAGATGACGACTCTGGTGGCCCCGAGGGGAGTCCATCCTTTTCAAGAAAAAAGTCCTCAATAAAGTCCACCTATGGATTTGATCTAAATTCTAAATTAGATAAAGCAGAATCAACATCTCCTATCTCTAATAACATAAATTCTAATTCTGGATTTCGTACTATGACACAAAGATCTCAAAACACTAATAGGAGATTGGACAACCGTAACATTTCAAGAAATCTCACTGATCCTCTAGAATCTCCAGAACAGATGTTCGCAAATCCTTATCCAAAAGGTAATACAAGCTAATTTTTTTTTCCATTTCTGTTTTCATGGCTGGATTTAGTTTTTTCTCTTCTAAATTATGTATAATGCTTCTCATACTTATGTAATATGTGACAGTTACGGATTCCCTGGAGAATATTGATCAAGAATATGTTCTGGTGCCAGGGCCCCCTATAGATGTTTCATCTTCTTCGGTGGGTGCTTCCAGGCCCAGCCATACCCCATATAGGTCTGGTAGTTTACCTCAAGAGTCTTCTAGTACAATCACCAGACCAAGTGCTCCAATGCCAATAGTTGGTGCCAATACAAATAGCATGTACCAAGTTGGAAGTTCAGGAAGTCAGGACTCTGCCCCTGGGACTTCGCTTGGATCGATGGATATAGGTGATGAACAGCCATCAGCTCACTGCATGACCCGGGTAAAATCATTGCAACAGTGTGCATCTGCCATCACCGAGTTAGTTAATGAAAAGGTAAATGTTGCTGAAAGTTTGCTCACAACTGTGATCTTATATGATGTAGCCTGGCTCTAAGTTTTCTTGTAAACCATTAATATTGTCCCCAAACTATTACACTCTCTCTCGTACCAAGTGGTCCCGTAAAATAATAAAATTGTTTAAGTAATATCTGATTTATTGAATATGTTGCTTTTATTACCTCTATTCTATTTTGTTGAAGTTTAGGGATTAAATTGAAGGATTTTTTGTAGTTGGGAGAAAAATATGATTTCAAATACTTATAGTTCAGGGATGACATGGATTGTTTATTCCAAACTTTAGTTGAGGAATGTGCATGTACTTGAAAATCATGATCTAGTTTTTCACTCGTCTCTAGTGGAGTCTTCTAAATGATCTTTCAAACTAATCTGGACATTTAGGTTATCTAGTATTGTGAGTGATAAAATTCATATTATGGATACCTTAGTTCTATTTAGACAATAGGTTAGCTAGATCTCTGTTTGGCTTTTATAAATTCTTGGGTGAATCGGCATTTTATGGCCTATTTAATTACTTTGTGAAAAGCGGGTTATGTGAGATAGTACCTAATACAACACTTTGGTCACCCTCCGCTTGCTCATTGCACTAGAAACATGCCGTTATTGTTATCAGTTGTATTATCTGTACTATCCTATAGAGGAGATACCAATCTTTTTGGTGTACACATTTCTTTTTACAATTTTATGCTTATTCTAAACATTTTTGTAATTTATTTTTTATAATAACTGCTGCGGTAACTGTTGTTTTTAGTGGGGTAACCTTTTTTTCATTTAGTAGCAAAAGTGTAGATACATGGGCATGTCACACTTGTATAGCAATTTAGTTGGTCATTCTGTACGCATTATTAGGATCTTTCCTTTTGGTGGGAAATAGAAATAATTGAAACTTATTTCCCTTTTACACAACCCTTGATGTCTTGCGTTGCTGCCTTTTACATTTTGTAAAGTGGCCATGCTTGTCTAAATGTTAAGTTTTCATTTGTGTTACTGTGTTAATATTAATGATACTTGCCTTTTGGACTGCTCCATGTCTCACTCTTAAAAATGGTAAAGATGGAGGCAGGAAAGCATCTGGAAGCGTTTTCTATTCAGCTTGTAATTCTTGCAATCTGGAAGCAAGCACTGCACATATGCCATACACAAGCTGCCTCAGCCATGGAAGGAAGTCCAAATCAAGAAACTTCAAGATATAGAAAGAGTGCCAGCAGGAAGCATGGCAGTCCTGATTCGGAAGAATGCCTTGATGGAAACACCCTATGGCCAAAGGATATTTTATCTAAAATTGAAAGTGAATTTTTGAGGGAATTTGAGCATGCTGAAGAGCTTGCCAAGACCATTGAGCCTGGTATGGCATCTTTTATTTTAAATTTTGAGCCAAATGGCTAGTTAACTTCTCTTCCTTTTTTAAAAAAAATAAAATTAAGCTACTTCTGCACCTGAACATGTAAAAGAGTTTTCTTATGTTTAAACTTGGTTTTATGAGATGAACAATAAATTTTATATGCACTTTTTGTGACATGCATGAAATGTAAAGTAATAGTTATAACGCAAGTGTCACCTTTCTGGGTGTGTGAAAGAGAGCGAGACAGATTCTTGTAGTTTTATTACATAGTTTATGAAATTTATAAAAATGGAAACTGTTTCTGTCCTGATTACAGGAAACACTGAGATGCCAGATGCAATGGAGACAATATTTCAATCTGCCCTTGCTTTTGGAAGGCATGGGGGTGTGAGTATTTCATCATGCTTTTTATTTCATCTATTTTGGCCTGGGTGATCAAAGTCCATCTTGAAAATACGATTTTAAACTTGTATATAAAAAGAGATTTTCCATCATTGATTATACAAAATTAAGGTTATCTTAGACATTTTCAATGATATGCTAAAATTAAGCAAACTTGAAGATTTAATTGGTGATCCAAGCTGAGGTTGTGTTCTGATATTTGGTTGGCAGGTAGAAGAACTCATGGGTGACATGGAAAGTGCAGCTGCATTGTATTCAAAAGCTGTCCGTCTGTTAGTTTTTCTTCTAGTGGAAGGACCATCCCTGATTCTTAATCCTCCGTTTTCGCTGACAAACTCAGATCGTTACAGACTTCGAAATTACATTGATATTCTTAATAACAGACAAGGTTATTCAAGGTCCCAGCGAATGGCACTACTGAAATGTGATGACAGTCAAGGTATCCTTAAGGAAAAATTTTAGTAATTGTTATTTATCTCCCATTCACACAACAAATTATTTATTTGTACAGTTATTCTTTTGAGGGGGGTGAAATTGGTGATGCTGATGGGAGTAAAGCAGCACAAAGTAGATTGTAAAATTCAACATTTCGGTGGTTAGAATGATGATCAAATGTGCATTTGATTATGTATGCTGTCATTTGTCCCGTGAATTCTTTTATGAGCTTTAGGTTTGAAATTTGATTTTCTCTTATGAAAATGGTAAAACTATAAAATACCTAGGTAATATGCATATAACAACGATACTACAATAAAATATTTGACTGATGACCAGGATTTGGTTTTATTGCCACTTGGAGAGCAAAAGTTTCATTTGACTTAAGAGGGGGTAATCTATTGAGATATTCAAAGACATTTTCTAAAAAAGAAATTGTGGTGATCAATCAAGATTTATAAAGATTTACAACAAAATCTGATGGTATTTAATTGACATTTGAAAGGACTAAAGAATTTTCAAGTCTTCAAAATCATACAAATTTAAATGATTATTTGTTAATTGGATTTTTATGTCTTAGTGATTGTTTTCTGCTATTAATATGGGTTGTTATATTTTATAACCAGTTTTTGAATTGTTATTATTATACATAATTTCAATCAATAAAATGTTTTTTATTTATCTTTTATATTATTTCTGTTTTTGACTTATTGAGNTTTTAACCACCCATTTCTTTCTCAGAAGCAAAGAGAACAGGATGATGAGCCATTGAGGTAAAAACACTCTCTTATAATTTATGGTTATTATGGTTTTTCAGTTGCAAATATAAATAATTTGTAGTGTGCAGGAGTAGAAGTTCTTCAAGGCTGGTTGGTGGGTTTTTTTCTACAGTGTCTGACCCTTTGAGAAGAACTGAGGAAAATTATCAAGAAGATTGTTTGCCTTTCATCCTAGATGACGACTCTGGTGGCCCCGAGGGGAGTCCATCCTTTTCAAGAAAAAAGTCCTCAATAAAGTCCACCTATGGATTTGATCTAAATTCTAAATTAGATAAAGCAGAATCAACATCTCCTATCTCTAATAACATAAATTCTAATTCTGGATTTCGTACTATGACACAAAGATCTCAAAACACTAATAGGAGATTGGACAACCGTAACATTTCAAGAAATCTCACTGATCCTCTAGAATCTCCAGAACAGATGTTCGCAAATCCTTATCCAAAAGGTAATACAAGCTAAATTTTTTTTCCATTTCTGTTTTCATGGCTGGATTTAGTTTTTTCTCTTCTAAATTATGTATAATGCTTCTCATACTTATGTAATATGTGACAGTTACGGATTCCCTGGAGAATATTGATCAAGAATATGTTCTGGTGCCAGGGCCCCCTATAGATGTTTCATCTTCTTCGGTGGGTGCTTCCAGGCCCAGCCATACCCCATATAGGTCTGGTAGTTTACCTCAAGAGTCTTCTAGTACAATCACCAGACCAAGTGCTCCAATGCCAATAGTTGGTGCCAATACAAATAGCATGTACCAAGTTGGAAGTTCAGGAAGTCAGGACTCTGCCCCTGGGACTTCGCTTGGATCGATGGATATAGGTGATGAACAGCCATCAGCTCACTGCATGACCCGGGTAAAATCATTGCAACAGTGTGCATCTGCCATCACCGAGTTAGTTAATGAAAAGGTAAATGTTGCTGAAAGTTTGCTCACAACTGTGATCTTATATGATGTAGCCTGGCTCTAAGTTTTCTTGTAAACCATTAATATTGTCCCCAAACTATTACACTCTCTCTCGTACCAAGTGGTCCCGTAAAATAATAAAATTGTTTAAGTAATATCTGAATTATTGAATATGTTGCTTTTATTACCTCTATTCTATTTTGTTGAAGTTTAGGGATTAAATTGAAGGATTTTTTGTAGTTGGGAGAAAAATATGATTTCAAATACTTATAGTTCAGGGATGACATGGATTGTTTATTCCAAACTTTAGTTGAGGAATGTGCATGTACTTGAAAATCATGATCTAGTTTTTCACTCGTCTCTAGTGGAGTCTTCTAAATGATCTTTCAAACTAATCTGGACATTTAGGTTATCTAGTATTGTGAGTGATAAAATTCATATTATGGATACCTTAGTTCTATTTAGACAATAGGTTAGCTAGATCTCTGTTTGGCTTTTATAAATTCTTGGGTGAATCGGCATTTTATGGCCTATTTAATTACTTTGTGAAAAGCGGGTTATGTGAGATAGTACCTAATACAACACTTTGGTCACCCTCCGCTTGCTCATTGCACTAGAAACATGCCGTTATTGTTATCAGTTGTATTATCTGTACTATCCTATAGAGGAGATACCAATCTTTTTGGTGTACACATTTCTTTTTACAATTTTATGCTTATTCTAAACATTTTTGTAATTTATTTTTTATAATAACTGCTGCGGTAACTGTTGTTTTTAGTGGGGTAACCTTTTTTTCATTTAGTAGCAAAAGTGTAGATACATGGGCATGTCACACTTGTATAGCAATTTAG